TTTCCCAAGACCACTTCCTCACATGCTTTCTGTCTTGAGCCTCCAGGTAATCCTATAGAACTGACTTTTGGGGTTAGATCCTGGGAGCTTCATAACAGTAGTTGTCATATCTGGGTCTGAGTGAAGTTATATCTTTGCTATGCCAGACAGCTGGCTAGTGAGGAAGTTGGGACTCAAACCCACATCCTCTGGCTTTTCCTCGGATGTCTCTTTTCTCCATGCTGTGCTGTTTCACTGGGGGTAGATCTTTACGCGTCCCTCTTCCCAGATGTGCTGTGACTCAAGGAGTTATCTGTAGGAATGCTGCAGAGTAAAGAAGGAAAGGGGTCCATGCGTGCTTGTGCCAAGACAGAGACAAGAGCCGGGTCCAGACGATGTTATTTTTGTTTCATTCTTTTGCCCAGTGTTGCTCTGAATTCTTCTTCCTCCCCACTCCACCCAAGGTGTCAAACAGATGTGAAAATACCACAAAATTCAAGCCTCAACCCTGGTGTGTGATTCATTCGTCGGGATGGGGAAAACAATGAAGGAGATTGCCATGGTGATGCCTGTTTACAAAGGCAGCATGGGAGACACCAGTTGTGGGCAAAGGTTAGAGAGCGTCCTTGTGCTGGCAGGGAGGCTCAGTGTTCCTACTGCCCAGCCTCAGTGGGAGACGGCAGGAACTGTACTGTTTGGGCTGGAACTGGGGACAGCCATGCCACTGGGTGTATTCCTTTGTTTTTTTTATCAAGGTAAAGAGATGTGAATGTATGTTCTCTCATTCTACTTGTTTATGTATTTTTCACCCTCCACCCCATGTAGTACATAACTTTATACACTGCAAAAATGCCTAGATTCCTGGTAGATGGACATCAGGATTCGATGGCTAAAAACGGCCTATAGGGTTATTTTTTTATAGGGCTGGGGAGATGGATCATTGGGTAAAGTGCCTGTTATGCAAACATGTGGACCTGAGTCTTGATCTTTTCATGCAAAAATCTAGGCATCATGATGTTTGTCTGTAATCCCAGGATCCCAAAGTGAAGACAGAGGCTCCTGGGTGCTCACTGGTAAGACAGTCTAACCAATTTAAAAGCTCCAGACCCTGCCACAAAAACAAAATAAGGTAGAGAACAAAGGAAGACACTTGATATTGACTTCTGCTTCCATAGGCACATTTGTGGACGTGTGTGTGTGTGTGTGTGTGTGTGTGTGTGTGTGTGTGTGCAAAGGCACACACACAGATGCACTCACACACCTGGTCTCTTCATTCAGACAATCTGGCTTCTAATCCTATTTTTATTTACTGACATGTGATCTCATGGCCAAGTTTCTTTCTGGGTAAAATCTTCTGAAGAGCAGAGGAGGAGACTAAGTCTCCTTGTGGGAAAAGTGAGATAATAAACAATGACTGATGGATTCGAGATGAACGGAAAGTGCTTAGCGAAGTGCTTGGTTCATAGTGTGGGCTTAGCAGAGAGCTGTTCATAAGGAGGTTTACCTACAGACATTTATCTGTTGATGGAAACAATAATACCTATTGTTCACACCCGTTAGAAAGACAAGACAAAAACCAAATTGGATAGAAAGTCAAGATATTGCACTTGATAGTATAAACTGCTGTAACAAACAGTCCCTGGATTTGGGTGGTTTTGAAACTATTTCTGGAATATGTCTGAGTCTGATGTGTGCAAATCAGGAGGCAAGGACGGCATCTCTGTCCCAGGCAGTCACCCAGGGACTTGGGCTCAGACCATGTGCCACCCTGGGAGTCCTCCACTATGTTATGGATCCAGCTCAAGATACAGGCCAAGGAGAGGTGTGGCGCATTGGGCAGGGAATTTTGTGACTCTGCCTGAAGGCATTATGTATTATTTTGGCCCATCATGCAGTGCTATGAACTTGGTCACATGGTCACACTCCAGGAAATTTGGAGATGCAGTCTGTGCATTCACAAAAGTGCTTTGATGGACAGTTTACTAGCCTGCCTGGGCTCCTGGGCTCCATAAATGGAGTAATGTAATGCCATGGTGATTTCCATGCTTCTGTAAGCTCCACCTGGATGGGTGAACATCCTTGGTTAAGCAGTCTTTATAGGACTGAGGATGAGAAAGGGGACATTTCTTTCCTCATCTCCAGAAGACATAAATCCCTTCTTTTCTTGACCCATCCTTGGCTAGAATGACAGAGCTGAGGGTCTCAAAGCAACAGCCATAGAATCACCTTTGCCATACAGAGCTGTGGGACTGAATTCCACTTGTAGTGGTGAATTAAATATTCAGTAGGCATCTTTTTCTCTTTGTTCCACACCTTTAATGTTATGAAATAGATCACCCCAAAGATAATGGCTTACGACATGGTGCCTGGGGAATTAGGTACCTGGTCACGGTATATGTACGTAGGAGAGTGTGCTTCAACTAGTTAGAGTAACCCCAAAGACTGAGACTGAAAACTTAGTAAGTGGTGGGTAAGCACCATGAGTACAGCATCTCATTTAACCTTCAAAAAAGAGCTCTTGAGGTGGTGTGTGTCATTATGATCCTTAGTCATGAGGCTACTCAGGAGATAGTTGGGTAAGGAATTAAGTTCCAGGACTGTGTGTGAGCACCCTCATGGTATACCCCAGCCCACCATGTCTTCAGTGTCTCTGTAGAATGCTGCATCCTTTCTCATAATGAATATTAATTGAAAATATCAGTGCAGCAGCTGGAAGTATGAGCTACTGCAGTCCCACACTGTGTCCTGGTAATTAAATCCTTAGTAGCTTTGTCATATTCCCAGTTGTCAAGGTCCCCGCACATCTACCCAGATTCTGGAGAGAGTGGAGAAGAGTACTTGCCATGCTCGAGAAGTTGCTGGGTCCCAGCCATCTCTCCACTGGCATGTGGTCCTGGCATTGCCGTCCTCTGAATTCTCAGAGCCCTCATACCCTTCCTTCACAAACACCCCACATAGGTAGCAGAGATGAAATGGGGTGGTCCTCATACCCTTCCTTCACAAACACCCCGCATAGGTAGCAGAGATGAAATGGGGTGGTCCTCCATCACAAACTAAGAAACATTTTGGATGGCTGTTCTAGGAGGGGGAAGCTGACAAAAGGGAGCTGGAGTCTAGGTGAAGTTCCCAAGGACATGCTTGGTTTTTATCTCACTGTAATTTCTGCTATCAGCAGAGTTATCCCTCCTCGGACTTGATTGTTCCTCACACAAAGTGCAAAAATTGGAACCCGCTTTCCTCTTCATCTAATGCAATACTTCTCAGCCAGCAGGTCACAACCCCTTCAGGGTCATGTATCAGATATCCTGCATATCAGATATTTATATTATAATTTAAGACAGTAGCAAAATTACAGCTAGGAAGTAGCAACAGAATACTTTTATGGTTGGAGGAGAGGTCACCACAACATGAAGAGCTGTACTAAAGAGTTGCAGCATTAGGAAGGTTGAGAACCATTGCTCTAATGCAAACCTGTAACTCACAGGTCTTCCTGGAGATGTGTTGTTGGACAGGTGACTCTTGGTAATCCAGGTAGCCTATCCTGATGCCTTGCTAACGACAGACAGCACTGTTCCCATAAGATTTATCACTGTGTGATATCACAGTTGGTGTGTGTGTGTGTGTGTGTGTGTGTGTGTGTGTGTGTGTGTGTACTCTGATGTTTGTAGCATGAAAGCAGGCAACAACACATTTTCAGAAGCAGATTCAATACACTGAGTGATTGGTGACACTAAATAAACTGTCAATTTACAGTCACCCTGTAGAAACTACACAGGCTCAAATCCTAAAATATTTCTTCTTATCAGGAGGGCACAATATTGTAGGGAGTCATTCTTCAGCTTCCATGTTAAGAGTTGTAACATTATGGTTCCCCCTCCCCCCTTTTCCATCTAGGGCTCGTAGGTGATTGTAGGGAATACAGAATATTTATCCAGTTGTTCACAGGTTTGTTCTTAACTTCAGTTCCCCTTAACCTTGATTTCCTACCACCCATGATGCCTCTTTCACCTTTACCCCAGTAACTGCCACGCTGAGCTTTCAGCTCCCCCATGACAAATGTTCATAAGCTTCTGAGTTGAGGCAGGAATCATCCATGCAGCTGCCTTTGCCTACTGTGTGGAATTAGCTTTTACTACATGCTATGCACAGGCTTGACTGTGTTGGCACCTGTTCAGATGCTAAACCCAGAAGCTAGACGAGTTTCATCTATCTGACAAGATTGTGTTATCTGTTTATGTCTATCTAGCTATGTACCAAAGCCAGTGACCATTCTTTTGGTTTCAAGAAATAGAAGCAGAATGGCTCTTTTCATCTCTTGAGTCTGGAACACTGTCTTTTAATGGAGACAAGATGGCTTCTGGGAAATCTGAGCTGGTTTAAACCAAAATAAAAATAAAGTAGGATAGGTCGGCTCACAACATGCTAAAATACAGAAGTATCTGGCTTCCGACATGAGCAGATCCAAACACTAACATGTTAGACGGCATGAAGAATGTCTCTTTTCATCTTCTGGGTCTGGAACACTGTCCTTTAGTGATGGCAAGATGGCTTCTGGGAAGTTTGAGCTGCTTTGCTACCCCAGTGGACAGAAAGTTATTCTTTGAATCATGCATGAATCCTAAAACAATGAAAGGGATTGAAGGATTAAAAGTGTTACCTGTGTCAGCTGCTACTCCCTGGAACCCCTGGAATTGAGAGGGGTCCTCAGCTTTAGTGGCACAAATTAATCTGAAAATTGGAGGACCTAGGGCCACTGAGAGATGTGTTTGTTTCTTGAAGAAGGGACCACAGAAGACAGGCAGTTAAGTGTAACTGGGCTCAGCTACATACATAATGAATGGCTTATTCCATACAATTTCCTTAAGGTTAGTTGGGCATGCTCAAGGGATATCATTAATCATTGGAATTGCCTTCTCCCTGACAGACAGCGTGTTCCCACCCCCCCGTCCAAGCCAGTCTGCATTGAATAGACTGTAAGTGTAACCTGCAAAAATCTGACCTGAATTTTCTTTCCATTGCAGTGACCTGGACAGAAATAACATCACCAGGATCACCAAGATGGACTTCGCTGGGCTAAAGAATCTCCGAGTCTTGTAAGTAGCAGATGGTGCGCCAAAGAGTTTTCATTTTCAGCTCTTCAGCCTGTGAAATGTTGCACTACCCTGACATCACATTCCCAAGCTCTGGGCCATAGGAATTCATGCTTCTGCTGCAGAAAGCCCTTTGTTACTGTACCAAGTGTTCACAGATAGCAAATCGTATGGCTGGATGCTGCTAGCTGGGCGAGATCGATAGAAGAACCGGCTTCCAGTGACAGGAAAAACAGAAGGCAATAAATGAATTAAGTCAACATGCCCTGCTTCCTGGATGACAGCAATGTCAGGTTGACTAACCATGCTTCCCTTCCACAGAGATTATAATTTCTTCCCCAGCTTGTGCATTAAAAGAGCAATTGGGACAGATGTTATTTATCTTCCTGCTTAATGGAGAGGAGGGGAGGAGAGATGGAGAGGGGCAGGCAAGGGCAGAATCCTTGCTGACCATTCACAGCTGTGCAGACAGGTTGCAGAATTTGAAGTAGACATTGATGGAATAGGGGGACAAGAACCAATGTGCTTCCATTCTGAGTACTGGAGAATTTTTACCCGACCCTAGGTTTGTGTTTGGTAAGAAAACGCCTTTGAACTGTTTGTTCACTGAAAAGTCTGATATTCAGAAAAACAGTGGAGCAATTGGGTTTTCTTCTTGCCGTCCCCCCTTCCTTGTTGTTGATTTTTACCCATAGTGTGGCTCCTGCCCAGGAGTGCAGCCCGAGAAGTTTGATCCCAGCTTTGATGTTATTTGTGTCATGGAATCTTGGCTGGCTCATCTCTATCGGCGGTTACTGCAAACTCATTGCTACCAGATTCCATCTCCCTTAACACATACTTTTAAAAGATTTATTTCATTTTATGTGTATGAGTGCTTTGCTTGCATGTATGTGTGTGCACCATATGTGTGCCTGGTGCCCTCAGAGGTCAGAAGAAGGCGTCAGACTCCCTAGGGCTTGAGTTACAGATGGTTCTTAGCCGTCCTACTGGTGCTGGGAATTGAACTTGGGTCTTCTACAGAAGCAACAAGTATTCTGAACCCCCCCCCAATCTCTCCAGCCTCCCACATCCCTGCTTCTACTCACAGTTTTACAGAACAGGATGATTTTGTCCTTGGGACAAGAAGCATCAGGTTCTGATTTGATTTGGAATTAATTGCTCATGCAACTTTGGGGAAGTCCCTGTTCCCCCTTGGATCTCAGTTTTCCCTTCAGCAGCCTAGGGAGTGATCACTTCAAGGTCCTCTCAACTCTAGTTATACACGGAGTGCTTCGGGGCTTTGACATTTCCCCCGAGCATCGTTTGATTACTGCCTGTCACTTGTGAAGCAGAGCTTTGGTAATGTGGATTTCTTGCTTGAGAAGTGTTAGTAATCATGCTAATGCTGACAGCGACCAACATTTGGTCGATGACTTGCCATTTACCTGGTGCAGAGTCATGTGACAGAACATATGAATGAGGCTGGCATTATTAGGGCCCCCTCATTGCAGGAGAGGAAACAGCCCTGGATTAAGGAACCTCAGCTCCACATAGTGAGCCTCAGAGGAGTTGGAATTAGAAAACTTCTGTGCTCACACAGGAGAAGGATTGTTGGGTGCGGGGGAGGGGAGGGAGGAAGTGCAGCTCCGGTGCATGCATTCTTGAGGAGGGAGGGGAGAAGGACATGCCGCTCTGGTGTGCAGAGTGTCACCAGTGTGCTCCTCCGGGCCAGTGCACAGGGATGCAGGAATCTGATGCTGGGTCTCCAGCTACCAGACACTCCCTCCGTAGACCTGTTCTCTCTTCTTTGGTCATCCTCAGAGTGAAGACCTCCCTTGTGCTGAGCCTTTCCTGTGCTCTGAGCACCTGTGTGTATGTCAAGTGAGTAACTGCTGGGATAATGTCTATGCCTATCAGAAGGGAAGTTGGCATAGGTGTGAGGGATCCCTTGGTTCAGTTTTAACGTACTTTGTATTAAAAAGAAAGGCAGGAGACTGCTGCTTCTAGGTCATTTGTTGATTTAAAAAGCAAAACTGTGTTTAGTCTTTAGCTTTGTGTCTTTTTGCCCCTATTTCTTCCACTTGTGTCTGTAGAAGATGCTTTCTCATTCAAGTCAAAATTCACCTACTGCTTCATTTTCTAACCAAGTCAAAAATAACCCTTTGATTTTCTTACTGCTGCATCAGAGAGACTAATAAAAATTCCAATTTCCATATCTGCTCTCTGTAAATAGAAAGTTTAAAATACTCACAAAAGATGACATTAATGTCTTCTGCAGAGTCTGCAGCACTTCTTTGACTACAGTTTATCTTTTGAGTTAATTGGTGCATTCTTCTGTTTTGGTAAGCAATACCAAAATGCCTTTTACTCTTTCTTTATCGACTGTTAATAGGTCTGTTTCATTATCTCCCTTATCAGCTCACAGACAGTCCCTTTCAAGTGGCCCTTTAATTCGATGAAAGAAATCTGCTAGGTGGAATAGCTGAGAAGCCTTCTAACACCCATAAAATATCCAAACATTTTAATCGCATTTTCCCTCCGTCTATTCTTAGTTGAGTAACCTAGAGAACTCTTTTTTATTTTCTTTTGAAAAGCTTTCATCACATCCTGGCATATTCCCCATGTCTGTTTCTTATTTACAATTTATGGTGAAGCAATAAAAGACTCGATAGTCTTGAATAATTTGAGCTTGCCCCCCATTTCCATGCAGAATGCCTTATAGCTGCTAATATGGTGCAGGTGAATGGGTAAACACAGAACAGAGGCTGTCGAACTTCTGTCTCATCCCAGGGCGATTTTCCCTAAATGAGGCAGAGATGTAGGAGTTGCCTGTGACAATCATCTCTCCCACAGGTTGGGAGCAGGGAAAAGTCTCTTCTGTTGGTATCAATTATATCCATTTTTTCTTAGTAATCCATTTAAGGATTTGCCGTGTTCACAATGTGGAAGCCAGCTTTATCCCAAATGGGGTTAATAAAAGAGTTAAACCCCGCCTCAGCCGTCATCACATGAGGACCATTTCCGATTCTAACCTAGTGGAGAAAAAAAGAAAGGAGTGCCAAAGAACTGAAAATGAACACAGTCTGTGTCCCCCTAACTTAGAACAGACACCAGCCTTGGGCGTCCCATGTGGGAACCTGAAACATAGCCTGACCTCGATCCCATGTCCTCCTGCATCTGGCCAGTAAACTAGAACTGAATCAACAGCTTCCTTACGTACCCTTAGTTTGCAGTGCTGCTCGACGTCTCTGCGCAGGTTTTGTGGCTCACTTATCCACTGACAGATGCTTCTATTTGTCAAGTAGTCTTTACTGAGCTTTTAAGTGCCAGGCATGAGGCTGGACTCTGATGGGTTTAGGAAGTCAACCTGAAAAGCATCCTGGATACTTTAACAACAGGAATCAAAGGATACTGCAGGGAGCAGGTGAGGAGATCTATCATTGACAGGTGTGGGTGGGAGGAGAGACTCCAGGAAGAGTACATTTCCTAGCCTAGTGATGATAGAGCCATGCCTGCCTAGAGTCACTGGGGACCAATGGGAGCGACCCAATCTTAGAGCCCAAAAAAGCATCAATAGTCTTTGTCAGAGGGACACAGTCACCCTGGAGTGGTTTGGTCAGGAGACAGAAGGGCAAATCTCCCAACCCCACTGTCCTTCTATTGTTCCTGGCTCCTGCTAGTAAAACCCAGTGCTGAAGCCAACAGTAAGTAGAGGCCAAGAAGCTCTTTGGAAAAGCCACTACAAGCCAGCTTCCCAGGTTCTGAGCAAGGTAGAGCAGGGACAGAAACCTTACCCAGGTGTTTACACATCTGTTTGTTGAACAAAACTAGTGGTGGTATCATAATGAATACAAAACTAAGAGATACATTCTAGGAGGTCAGAGTTTAGTACCTCCAAACATCCAGAGGTTGACACTCAGCCACTCTAGAGTTAGTCCTTGTTCTCATTGGAGAAGAATGACAGCCAGCGCTGGTTGACTGATTGATTAGAAAACACTGGCCGAGCAACCCCCCCTAGTCACTAGTATTGAATTGACACCCTGTTTAGTAAATGTAGTAATAAAAGCTTGTTAACTTCCCAGGGCCTCCTTACCATATGGCAGAATGGAGATGAGGAGGGGAGGGGAGGAACATTTATTAAACATTACAGATTATTACTTCAGATGCTGGGCTTGATGATTTGTTTACTCCATTTTTATTTTTACAAGTGCTTCTGTGATGTCTTATTTTCTGTATTTTACAAATGAGGAAACCGTGTCTCAAAGATGAAGACTAGTTTGCCCAATACAACACCACCATCTAGTAAGAAGTAGGACAGAGATCCTAAAGTAGACTGGGGGCTTGAAAGTCCTCTCCTTAACTGTGCAGTTACCCTTGGGTAAGTTTCTTAGCTACTCTGTTCTTATCTGTTAAGTGAGTGGCCCGGAAGGAAGTGGCCTGCCAGGGACAGAAGTCACAAAAATGGGAGGTCTCAGAGGTTGAGGATTCTGATGAACAGGCTGACCCTCTAGGTCTGTTAATACTTGTAAGCACAAATGTGTTACATATTTGAGCCTAACCAATTATCCTTGTGTGCCCTGATAGAAACCTCACATCATTGACTCACCTCGTTTATGCAAAGTCAGTACGTGCTGGGCCCATAGTTGTGTTTCTCATTCGGTGGGCTGATGTAGCCCCTGGTGCTAGGCTGGAAGAGTGAGGATGTCAGGGGGCGGGGGTGGGGTGGTGAGGGAGGCACAGTGCTGACCTGGGAGTGTGAGGAAGTGAGGTTCTCACCCTTGGGTTGAATCTTAAGTCTAAAACATGCTGAAGGTTAGGCTATTCCAAGAGGTGGGGTCATCCTGGAAGGTCTATTTTGGAGAGAAGATGCACCCTCCCCTAGGCCATGCTTCTGCCATTCCTGAGCAAACTGTGGCCCTTCCTAAATTCCTCCTTCTCTCAAGAAACAGCCTTCAATCACAGATGCATATCCCCCAAATCCCACGCAGCCACCAAATGCAGTCCCTGTCTTTTCTTGGCCCGTATCCTACCCAGAATCCATGCATCATCATTGCGTCCCCTCTGTTCAACTAATCCAATTTAAGCTCTGATTTTTCTCTTTGGTAAGTCGTGGAAACAAATGTTTCATTGTATGGTCAACTCTTAGGGCAAGCCAAGTGCATGGATCAAGCTCACTTATGCAGCGTGTTTAGGACTTTTAATCACTTGCTGGGAGAACTTAGAGATCCATAAAGCCTGTGGCTGGAGAGGGGGGTTACTTTTGTGAAGTCGCTATCTCTAGGAGGTTGGGATGAGCCTGACCCTGCAAGAGGGAATCCTTGGGCCCAGGCTGGCATCTTATGCACAGTGCTGATTCACAGTGACTCTGTCCTTTCCGTGAGGTTGAGCAAGGTGAAGAGGTGTTGAATGTGAGTGGTTTCTCCAAGGAGCAGCTTTACCTCTTCCGTTTCTGTGCACTCAGGGGGACATTTGCTGGGTACATTCTTAAAAGTAGAGACGTGGAGCATGGACTAAGGAAAATGCCAAGGGAACATTAACTCAAGGCGAAGTCCCAGAGACCAATATTAGTTTGATCATATGGGGATGTCAGAAATGTAAGTTTAATCTTGAGTTGTTCCTATATAAAGAAATATGTGTAACAAAAAAAAATAGAGACATGGAAACCAATCTGCCAGGTAGCAGTGTGCAGGCGGTGGAATCCTGCTTACCTTGACACCACACGGATATAGTGATTTTACCCCAACAGAATGATTGGAGGGACCCAGCAGTCCTAGGAAGGGATATGTGATGTGACTGCACAGCCTGAGGCCTCTTCTGGGGATCCCTAACCATTTTAGTCCTTGACCCTGGCTGCTTTTCTGATTCCAGGCATCTGGAAGACAATCAGGTGAGCATCATTGAGAGAGGCGCCTTCCAGGACCTGAAGCAGCTGGAGCGATTGTAAGTAAAGCACAACCTTGTATCCTTAAGAAAAAAATGTTTTCTGCATTTATTTTGTTTTGTTTTCTAAGTTGGTCTTGTGGCCTTGGTAAAACAAACCTTCAATGCTCGATGAAATGTTTTCACTGTATTTCAAGTTGCTTTGAAGCATGTAACAGAGGCACTGAGATCCATATAAACTGTTCTAAAAAGGACACAGAGGCCGGCAGTATCTGGGACTGGATCTCTTCTTCCTGGGCTTGAGGTAGCCCTGGCTTTCCTCACGTGGGGCTGCTTCCATCCAGACCTCAGCTTCTCCTTTCTCAGGAGTGAGATAATGTCATGGAAGCCATCAGCAGATCGTCCCCTCCTCCTCAGGCTTCTCCTCCTGGGACTCCTCCTGGTACTCTTGTGGGAGAGGAAGGATGGGCGAGTGGGCGCAGCCTTCCTCGTGCCTGCTTCTCTGAGCGCCAGCCTGTCTCAGGAAACCCACACGTTTCCACGAGAGAACACATTGCCACTGGTTTAAAATAGGCCGCTGTTCTGACTTGATCAGAGGGTGGGCAGCAAAAGAAATGGGGCTGGGAGTTGGGTGGAGCCTCCATTTATTTTACCCATGAATGCTTTTGCAGAAAACTCTGGGGTCAGTTTGATGAGGAAGGTTGCTCAGATGGTTAAGTGGGCAGTTTCACCTTTCTTCAGTTAATCACAGCTGACAGCTCATAACATCTGGATATTTGCTTTCTACCCTCTGAGTGGGGATTGTCCCCAAGAGCACTTAGTCATGCTGGTGGGCGGCTCTCATCGGTGCCTCCCCCGGCAGCCCCATTGCCCTGACATTTCAGCTTCATTCTGTACTGGGATCTGGGACTGCAACAGTTCATGGCTCTGCCAGCTTACCTGGAAAAAAAACACATCTCTGCTTATCTGTCCTGTTGCCAAAGATCCTTTGCTTTGAGACAAGTCTCTTTATGGAGACTTGCTGTGGTGAAATGGACTGCCAGACACAACTTTCTTTTCTTGTGATGTGTCATCCTTTCTCCACCAAGTCGTTATATCCAGGGCCACATGGCATCGGGAATTGGTATAACCTAGAAAAATGTTTTCCTTCCCACTGTTGTGTGGACTGTCTCATCCACTGTTTCCTTCCGGATCAAACTCCAGCATGACTGTTGCTGTCAATAGTTTGAAGGTATGACATTTATTTCTAGTAAAAGAAAATGGTTATTTTAGAAAAATTACATTATCTTTGCTTACGTTTTGATTTTCAAGTTTTCTAAGATTTACCTTCTCCTGTTTTTGTACCAAAAGAAAACATAAAAGTATTTGTTGAACCGTGTTCCTCTTTGTGAAATAACCAACATTTACATAGAAAAATAAACACATGGTCCAGTGTGAAAAAGCTGACTCTTGCTTAGTTTTGTGATTAGAAGGGTAAATAAATTCTTAATTTGTTAATTTCATGGTTGTTGGGAGAGAATTAGCGAGGGCTTTGGAGACACCAGAAACTGTGTGTGTGTTTCACATGTGATCAGTTCTTTTATTGTACCCCTCTGCCAAATTACAACAAGCAGCAATGAGGTGTCATTCCCCTCATTTTGCAGATGAAGAAACAAAAGCCCAGGAAGATTAAGCCAAGGAATTGTCAGGGCTGGGTAAGGTTCCAAGCCACATCTGTCTGACATCAAAGCCCGAGTCCTTTCATATCCTTGTGTTGCAGACACTGGATGAAGTGTGAGCTTTAGCGATGGCCCTGCAAATAGCCTCTCCCGTACCCACTCAGCTCCAGAGACTTGGAGAAATGCTCTGGCAAAGGTCTCTTAGCTTTGGAGTGGTGAACAAAGCCAAAATACCGTGCGTGTCTGGGGAACTGAAGGGATTACAATTGCTGAGCAAACCTGGCTCTTTGTGTGTTTTGGTATATTAGGCGGGTAATACTAGCTGCAATACTACATAAACTCTCAAATCTCAGTGACTTAGCACAGTGGAAATTTACTTTTAATTCCTACAAACTCATATGGACATTCCTGGTAGAGCCTCTCTCTCTCTCCCAAGTACAGACTCAGAGACAGTAATCCTCCATGCTTTAATGCTGGTTTGCAATGTACAAATGTAGCAAGTCATCGAGTAGGGAAGTTCCCATGTGAGACTGGGAAGAGGTATAACTTATCCATTCTTACATCCTGTGAACTGGCACTGTAGCTATAGTTAAACTACAGGGAAGACTGACAAAAGTGACTGAGTTGTATGACAGGAGGTAGACGCTAGCTTAGTGGGTAGGTAGGTCGTCTGACTTCTGTTCCACGGAAGCTGGAGAGGTACTTGGACAGTGGATAGGATGTCTCTGTCATTTGATAGGCATCAAGAGTCAGCAAGATGATAGGTGTGTGTGTGTGTGTGTGTGTGTGTGTGTGTGTGTTAGAGAGAGAGAGAGAGAGAGAGAGAGTGACAGAGAGACAGAGAGACAGACAGAGACAGAGAGACAAAAATGAATCCTCACTGGTGTTAATCTGCTTTCTATTCAGCAGTCTGCTTTCAATCACATTGAGTAACATGAAATAAGAAAATGCAATATATTTGTTATTAACCACTGAAGAAGTAGATGGTGGCTGTGCCATCATCGGTAGCTTGCTCCAGGGTCTCCTTACTCATGTCTCTGTGTTGCATAATAGAATATTTTTATTGCTTCTGTTCTAAAACAGCCTAAAAAGTAAATGGATTTGGATACTTTTCCTCCTGAATGTTTTATTCTTGGCTTATTCTCTCGGGGACTCACTGAGAAAGAGAGGGAGTATTAAATTTCAGGTCTTAACTTGGAATTCTGTTCCTCCATGAAGAACTCTAGACTGAGTTAGGTGCCCCCTCTGTTAGATCATTTCCTGTTGCAATAACAAGATGCCTGAGGCTGGGTACTTTATAAAGAAAAGTTGCTTTAATGAATAGTTTTGGAGGCTATCAATATAAATTGGGTGACCCCATCAGCCAGGCCTCTGGTGAGGGCCCCATTACCTGTGCTGCATCATGGTGGATGGCATCAATGATGGGAGTTTGCATGAGAAGAAGAGATGATTTAGGGAGGTAAGAAGCCAGAGAGCAGGAGGGCACAGGCTTGCTCTTATTTAAAAAAAAACACTTGTTCTGAGAAGCTGGGTGGTGGTGGCACATGCCTTTAATCCAAGCATTTTGGAGACTGAGGCAGATGGAACTCTGAGTTAGAGGCCAGCCTGGTCTACAGAGTGAGTTCTAGGACAGCCAGGACTGTTTCACACAAAAACCCTGTCTCTATAAACCAGCCAACCAACCAACCAACCAACCAACCAAACAACCAAACAAACAAACAAAACACATGTTGTTCTTAGGAGAACAACAAACTCACTTTCCCATGCCAGTATCAATCTCTTATAGAAGTCTGTGTCCCCACCCTACCCCAAACTGTGGCACAGTCACCTCCCACTTGGTCCTTCCTCTTCAAGGTTCCATAGCCTGTTAACCCTCCCCCATTTAGGATGAGGCTTTCTGCATATCCCACTCACACACCTTCCTGCCATAGTAGCGCATCGTTGCCCCATCTTAGTGTTGGACACCATGTCTTCACTTCCTCTTTCCAAACTGGTTCTCTCCAGAACAGTGATTCTGTTAAGGGAAATATGAATCATTTAGCCATTGCTAATCTTAGACCTCTGAACAAGGAATGAGTGTAGATACTTAAGGGATATTCACTAAAAATACTTGAAGTTTTTTATTTTATGGCAGTAGATCTGAGCTGGGAATAAAACTCCCCTTCCTCTGAGAGGATTCTTGGGGATGCCTGGAGACATTTTTTATTTTTACAACTAAGGGTTAAGGCCAGTAGTCTGACAAATTTAAAGTACATAGGACATCCCCCAAGAAGGAATTCTCCAGCCCCAGAGCTCACTGGTGCCAAAGTGGAGGAGTCCTCATGAGGGGATAGGTAGTGTGCCAGACACTTTACAGCATGACCTTGGTGTGATAAAATGTAAGTCTCAGACCATTGCTGTGAAATAATGTTCCTAATATGATTATGTCAAAACTGCCTTAGGTACATCCCAGTTCTCCTGTCCAGAACATTCCAAGAGGATGAAGCTCAGAGAAACCGGAGGGAAACAAGTAAACAAGCCCTTCCCTAGGGTGACCACCCTGATCTCCTCAAAGAGTTCCTGTCATGAAAGATGAGGACATGTCATTGATTAATCTAGATTTAAGCAACCTTGTATAGCAAGAGCAACACAATAGTTGGGAGAATTAAAATCATCAAAGGTTCTTTAATTATCTATAAAGTGATAATGGTGTTAATGTTTATCGCCTTATTAAAATCGAGGATGTTTGCTAGAATCAGCAGGATATCCTCTAAAAAGCATGGTATGGAATGCAATATCCAAAGGGAGGGAGAGGGGGCAGGTATGTGATGAAGTGTATCGCTAATCCAAATGAGGGATAAAAGGAAAGAAAAATTACTGGGGAACAAATGGGGCAGACAGACAATAGACAGTAAGGCGCTGTGCGCAAATGCAGGTGTAAGATGATTTATACACAGATGGCTAAGCCAGCAATTAAAACAGAGTGACAGCGTAGACTTAAAAATGCACAATACTTAGGTACTTTTGAAAAGTGTATTATTTTTAATTATGGACATGTGTGTATGTTGCTATGTGTGTGTTTGGGCATATGAGTGCCAGTGTCAGAGTGTCCCCTAAAGCTGGAGTTACAGACCATTGAGAGCCACCTGATGTAAGTGCTGTTAGTTAACCTCAGGTCCCCTGCAAGACAGCAATAGGTCTTAGTCACTGAGCCATCTCTCCTGTACGCCAATACTTATGCAATTTTCTAAAAATAAATTAAACATAAAGATGGGGAAGGTTGGGAAATGAAAATGTAGGAAGTAGTATTTAGAAAACACCAAAAGAATTTACTGAATAAAATGGTCTTCTTGTAATACAGAAACATTATTGGGTATAAGGCAGGATATTTCATACTGATAAAGTAGTAAATACAATTAATAA